TAAGAGCTGGAAAAGAAAGGTTGTTCTTTAATTTTCACAACCAGGAGTTGCAAAGACATAGTATATTAAGAAATGACTGGAAATAGGCTGGATGTGGCTCAGGCCTATAATCCCAACACTCTGGGAGGCTGTGAGGTTGGAGGATCGCTTGAGCTCAGAAGTTCGAGACCAGACTGGGCAACATAGTAAGAACTTATCTCTCTCTCTCTCTGTCTCTCTCTATATATATATATGGAAATAAAATGAACATATATTTGTGTACATGTGGTTTTCAAAAACAATGGGCAAGACATTGTGCAAAAGAAGGTCTATTTTAAGGAGAAATAATATGTCTTGAAATGCACAGGGATATTTGATCGTGTTCAGGAAAGCCTGAACTTCAATCTAGTTTCATCCCTAAACAGTATTAAAGCTTATGACATTGACAATTTCTGGACAGACAGTGTCCACAGAAAAGAAAAAGCAAAGAGAAAGAGAGGTAAAGAAGAACATAGAGAAATCCAGAACTGACTGAAATGAAAGTTGGGGATAACTTCAAGATTTTCTGTTTGGGAATTTATGGTACCATTAGCACATCCAGGGACCTTTAAAATTCTTTATGACCTTGAGGCATCCAAGACAAGTTAAATCAGAATCTCTGAGGTGGGACCCAGATATCATCAGTCTTTACAGCAACCCAGGAATTTCTATGCATATGGTTGAGAATGACTGCTACAGTCAAAACAAGTAAGGTAGGATATTGAGATAACGGAGAAAGAGGATGAGTATAATTCTAGACATACTGAGTTCAAGTTTCAACAAGGCATCCAGGAGGGAATTAAGGGCTGGATATCAGGAAGGACAGAACAACTTAAGATTTTGAAGAGCCATTCATTAATATGTACAATAAACATACCTTAGGCTGGGGATATTGGCTCATGCCTGTAATCCCAGCACTTTGGGGGACCAAGGTGGGAGGATCACTTGAGGTCAGGAGTTCGAGACCAGCCTGGCCAACATGGTGAAACTCTGTCTCTAATAAAAATACAAAAATTAGCCAGGCGTGGGGGCGTGTGCCTGTAATCCCAGGTACTTGGGAGACTGAGGCAGAAGAATCGCTTGAGCCTGGGAGGCAGAGGTTGCAGTGAGCTGAGATTGTGCTACAGCACTCCAGCCTGGGTGACAAAGTGAAACTCTGTCTCAGAAAAAAAAAAAAAAAAAAATCCCTTAAGGGCTGTTGAGTGTCAGGACACCAAGTCCTACAAATGGGTCCTTTTCCTTTGTGGGACCTATATCTAGGAGGCAGGGAACAGATTTTTAAACAAATCAGTGATATAATGTGTTGTGGACTATAAGACAGAAATTTGTACCTGGGACAGGAAAGAAGGGTTCAATTCTTCTGGGAGTTGTCAGAAAAGACTTCATAAAGAAGGGACAAGGAGAAGGTGGGATGACAGAAATGCAGAAAGAGAAAAAGGCGGACCTTGGAAGTATGGGGAGACTCACTTAGGTCTAGCAGAATGGAGAGAAAAATGGAATCAAATGAAGATCACTGAGAATTAGCAGTCAGAGAGAGCGAGGAAAAAAAAAAAAGTGGGATAGAGAAGTGCCCTGAAAGATAAGGCTGGCTAATAACGAAAGGCCATCACATGAGTGGTGCAGAGGGTCAAAGATGATGGGGATGACTATTAAAGCTGAAGATCACATAGTTATGAAAGTTCATTTTTATAGTGGGAGAGTTGGGGCAGAGAGTAGGTAGTGTTTGGAACTAGACCCATGGAAAAAGAGAAGGATAATGAGAAGGCTAGTGGATATACTAAGGGGAGGGTTATAGGGAGCACATTTAAATATTAAAACAAGGAACAGGCCTGGTGCGGTGGCCCACGCCTGTAATCCCAGCAGTTTGGGAGGCTGAAGAGGGTGGATCACGTGAGGTCAGGAGTTCGAGACCAGCCTGACCAACATGGAGAAACACCTTCTCTAACTAAAAATACAAAATTAGCCGGACATGGTGGCACATGACTGTAATCCCAGCTACTAGGGAGACTGAGGCAGGAGAATTGCTTGAATCTGGAGGCAAAGGTTGTGGTGAGCTGAGATTGCGCCATTGCACTCCAGCCTGGGTAAGAAGAGTGAAACTCCACCTCAAACACAAACACACACACACAACAATCAAATGAGAAGGCAAAAATCTCTTAGCTGCAAGAATCGTGATGGTGGGTTATCTTTGTCTTCTACACAGGTGTACTTGCCAAATTCAGTCACTTCATTCTATAGACACTGCCCCCTAGAACCCACTTCTTTCAAAATGTGAACTAGTGAAAGGCACCACCTACCATCTAGAGCTCTACCATGAAAGATGATAGCACAGCTGTTCAAGTCACAGGTTCTGGAATTAGACAGTCCTTCCCTAGCAATGTGACTACGTGAAAAATTATTTCCTTTTTTTTTTTCTCTTTTTTTTCTTGAGACAGAGTCACTCTGTTGCCCAGGCTGGAGAGCAGTGGCACGATCTCATCTCACTGCAATCTCCGCCTCTTGAGTTCAAACAATTCTCCTGCCTCAGCCTCCCGTGTAGCTGGAATTACAGTTGCCCACTACCATGCCCAGCTAATTTTTGTATTTTTAGTAAAGACAGGGTTTGACCATGTTGGCCAGGCTGGTCTCAAACTCCTGATCTCTGGTGATCTGCCCGCCTCAGCCTCCCAAAGTGCTAGGATTACAGGTGTGAGCCACCGTGTCCAGCCATTACTTCGGTTTTCTAATATGAAATAAAAAGTAATAATGGTACTGGTCTCAACGTTATTATGTGATTAAATGAGATAACGCATGTAATATGTTTAGAACATATCTGGCATATAGTTCTAGCACAGAAAATATTCACTATTGAACAAGAACAGAAAAAAAGTAGAACTTTGTGCCAGCAAAGTATATGACTTCCCCTGTTCCTGTATTCTTTAAGAGGTCTCGCACTGAATCAAGCGGATCCTTTAAAAAAGTAACACATCAGGGTCAATAAACAGATTCACCTAGTGACAATAATATAGGCTTTGGAACCAGGCAGCCATGAGTCAAACTTTAGTCAAGCCATTTATGAGCTTGATCTTTCTGAATCTCAGATTACATATTTGTAAAAATGAGGTTAATACTACCCACCTCCCAGGACTGTGAAGATTAAGATAGATTTCTAGTTGCAGACACTTAGCACAGTTTACATAAATAAATGTTTACTAAGTGTTCTTGGAATTGAAATTGTGGTAAGATTTTACTCCTGGTGTCATTTTACCCCTGTGGGATTCCGCTCCTTCTTTGACCTCAACTTAGTTGTGAATTCTATTGTCCCCGCTGCTAGACTTTACTAACATTAACCATGTGGATTTTCATGCCTGGAGAGAAGAGGGGTCATGGAGAAAGGAACAGAGTACACAAGAAAGCTGCAACAACCACCATAACACCCTGGAGGGCACAGGGAGAGAGAAAAACTTCCGCCAGGCATTGCTGAGATAGAACACAGGTAGTACTCATCAACCTGGGTTCTGTTCACCCAAGCATCAAGTCCAGAAGATACTTCTTGCTACTGTTTCTCCTCTTTCTCAGTGCCTGAGTCCTGTCATGTAAGGAAAGCAGACATAGGAGAAAAAAAAAAAAAAGAAGAAGAAGAAAAGAAAAATCTCCCACATAGAAGTATGTTAAAAATCTATCTCTCTGGATGCTTGGTTCCTTCCTAGTTCTCATTATCTGATGGAAGGCCACTGACACCAACATTGTCCTAAGCTAAAATTGGCTTTCTTTTTCAGAGATTGTAGGTTGATTGTAGGTTGCAGAAAAGGCAAAACACTTTGCTAGAGGCTGTAGCATGGAATACAGATTAGGTTGGTGATGTCACAAAAGAGGGTTTCAACAGTGTCAGCAGAGGCTGTAGTGATGACTAAGGAAGTTGATAAATGGCACCATCTGAAATAGTTACTCGCCCTGAATAGGCAGGTGGAGAATATTAGTTACAGATGAGACAAATCCCATTATGAGAAATATCATCACAACAAGAATATTTCATTCCAGATTTTAGAATCCCAGGTTTTGGCTCACTTCGGTCAAGAAAAACTATAAATAATTGAGTTCGAGATAAATAATTAAATGTTAGCCTCTTGGAGTGCATGGCAATTGGTTTTGATCTCTATATTAAAATTCACAAGACCACGGACATAAGTCAAAACAGGTCCCCTTCGTCTCCCTAGTCACCATATCCAGGGCTAAAAAACAGACTTGAAATGGGTGCCAGTTAGACTACAGGAAACAGGATCTACAAGCACCAGGAGCTCATCTATGGCTATCTGACATGGCCTAGGGACGCATCACTCTCTGGCAGCTGGAGATTGTTAACATCGCCAGTTCAATGTTAATTGAATGCAAAGGAATAAGAAATAAATTCTGGTTCCGAAAGGGCAGCTGGAAAGGTGTTGGGCTTCTGAAACTCAGGCCTAAAACCAAGCATCCTCCTTGCCAGAGGAAACGGAAAGCCCCTCCTCCATTTTTAGAATCAGGCTGGAAAACACGGCTCCCAGAAAGTGGGGTTAGAAAACAAGAGCCTGCGTGGCGGCGCCCTGTGGTCCCTCGAGGAAACAGGAGAGAGACAAAGAGGGCCTGCTCCTGGGAAGCCCTAACTTCGAACCCAATCCTTCCTCCTAGACATCACCTACAGCTTCAAAGGGCAGGGCGCACACCTCCCCTCCCGCATCTGTAGGGCGAAGGCAGGTCGAGGGTAAACATTTCTAGTTATTCAATTTATTCAGTGGTTAACTATTTTGTGGGTACCAGACACCGACCTAATCGGTTTACGTCCTTCCCTTAATTCTCACAATTCTGAATTTGTGTTATTAACCCCTTATTATCTTTGGTCTACCAAGGGCAGCCAAAGAGGCGCAGAGAAGAGTGACAATCTGCCTAGCAAGCGGCGGGATCAAAGCCTGGGTCTCTACTTCCCAAGCTGGAGATTGGGCTTCCTGCTCCTCCTGCGCGGGGCGAAAAGCCCACCTGGGATCCGAGCGGGCGGCCGCGCCACTCTCGCAGGCTCCATACGCCCACCGCTGCCCGCCTGTACCACCTGCAGCGGGCAGCGACGCCTCCTTGCCGGTCCCGCAGGGCGCGCTGCAGGTGCGCGGGGCGTCCCGAAGCCCCGCCCTAGCGTCCCTGCCCCGCGCCCCGCTCCTCACGCTCGGTACCCGCGCCCCGCAGCGGCAGCGCACAACGCACCGCCTCCGCCAGAGCCAGGGAAGCGCTCGGGCGAAGAGGAGGAGCCAAGGGTACCGAGCGGGTGGAGTCGGGAGCCAGAGAGCGGTGGAGGCGGATTTCCTGGGCCCGGCCCTCTGGAGCTACCATGGCGTTTGGCAAGAGTCACCGGGATCCCTACGCGACCTCCGTGGGCCACCTCATAGGTAAGGAGGCGCGGGGAGAGACGCCCAGGCAGGCAGGGGACCGTGGGATCCTTTCCTGCTTGATCCATTCTCGGCCTGCAGAGGACGGAGTTAGTCCAACTTGGAGAAAATCCTTCCCCTCCCCCAGCAACTTTCCCAGGGCACCCGCATTCCACCCGGCCCCCTTTCGTCCGTTTCCTTCTTGGCCAACTCACTCTAGAACCCGCAGTCCTCAAAAATGTACCTTCCTTTCGATGCCTCCTGGGGAGTGGAACCAAACAGGTGAACCGCGGGAGTCAGGCATGGAGTATTTGGGCCTCCACGAGGAGACACCAGAAACTTCTCGACCAGGGGAAAGTTATTCCTAAACGCACACTCTCTAGGGCACGGTATTGTTATGCCCGTTTTACAGATCAGAAGAGGAGGCTCTGGGAGACTAAGTGATGTGACCTTACTGTGAGGGGCAGGTCTCCCCAAACCAGTTTTCAATAGTGCCAAGCTTATACAACCTGGATTGCTTTAATGGGTAAACAAAGAGAATGAAAATGCTTGGCATTGGAGTGAAGAGGAGGGGAACAGAGGAGCCATCTGGGGGCACGGAGGTCTCTTGCAGGCCGCTAGGGACTACACCGGCATCCACCTAAAAGATTTCTCCTCCGAATGTACCTTGCATGATGTATGTAGAAGCCAGTGATTGGACTCTTACAAGCACCAGCTCACTGCTCCCTCTTTTCCCTGATTCCTCCCTTGGGAATTGGGTGTGGCACGAGTGCATATTAATGCCAGGCAAAGTGTGATGATGTCAGGAACTTAGTGGGGTGATGAAATCTTGAGAACCTAGTAGTTGTAGTAAAGAGGCCGAGATTTGGAAAATTTAGCTCACAGCTCTACTAACTGCCGTGACACGGAACACACCACTTAAACAGAACCTTAGTTTACACATCCTTATAAAATGGTCAGAGTAGCTACCATTGAGGAGATGCTTTCCCTTGATGGCTGTGCTTTGTTGGATATTAGAATGAACCCTGAGCAGAAATGGGTTCCGACTGTATCTTCATAGGCAAAAGAAACTTCAGCAGTTCATCTGCTTAATTTTTTAATTCTGTAAACATGGACTAACTGTCAGCTATGTGTCTGGACCTGGATCAGGCACTGGTGAGGCCAAGGTGAGACGTGATCTCAAACCTGAGGGAACTCATTTTCTTGTAGGGAAGACGGCACGGTTTTGTGCGGCACCTTTGCAATGCAAGAAAATGCAAAACACACAAAACTTACCGAAAGGGAGAAATGAATTCTACTGTGGCTTTTGAAGGGTGAATGGGAGTTTTCTAGGAAGATAAGCTTTGTCCATTTGGTGCCAAATTCAAGTTTTGTTTGTTTTTTGTTTTTTGCTTTTTTTTTTTTTGAGTGTCGCTCTGTCACCCAGGCTAGAGTGCAGTAGCTCTCGGCTCACTGCAACCTCCGCCTCCCGGGTTCAAGCAATTCTCCTTTCTCAGCCTCCCGAGTAGCTGGGACTACAGGCGCACGTCACCACGCCCAGCTAATTTTTGTATTTTTAGTAGAGATGGAGTTTCACCATACTGACCGGGCTGGTCTCGACCTCCTGACCTCAGGTGATTCACCCGCCTCGGCCTCCCAAAGTGATTGGGATTACAGGCGTGAGCCACCGCACCCGGCCTCAAGTGGTTCTTTTCCTTGATTGAAAGCAAGCCAAACTTTGGGGTTCCCTGAAACAAGTCCTTATTCTTTCTTTCCCTTCTCTATCCTTTTTGTTTTTTTCTCCATTTCCCCCAGAACCCCGTGTTTTCATTCTTAGGGATCTTATCCTTCTCTTAGGAAGATGTTAGCGCATTCATGTTGAGTGTTCCATTACCCTTTCCAGGTAACATCTTGTATTGCCTGATTATCTAATGATAGGGTTCCAAGTGCAGAAGCATTCTGGTCAGCCTGGTGCAGCTGTGGTTAGTTTAGATGCTTGTTATTATTAGTTTGGATAGTTACTCAGTGCCAGTTTGAAATAATTAAGACTGATAGTAAAAGTGTATGCAATGGAAGTTTTTACGTAATCGAGATAAGCAGTGTCTTTGCAAGTACTGGTTGAAGTTATAATAATTGGTAAAATTAGAAGGAATCGTGAGATTAAGATGATAGGAGAATAAATATATTACTTTTATTTGGAGTTGTGCCAATATTTTGGCTCCTAAGACCAACAGATTACTTCTCTCCTTTAAAAATTCTTTCCTCCTGTCCCCCCAGAGAATAAATTATTTTTAAAAACAAACAGTGAGACCAAACAACCTAGATTTGAATGCCAATTCTACTTCATACTGACTGTATGACTTTGGTAATTTCCTAACCTCTCTGAACTTCTGTCTCATCATCTCTAACAGTGGGTTAAATGAGATTGCATATGATAAAATACATAGCACTATGCAGTTCACCTTGTAGGTAGCTGCTCACTAAGCCCTAGTTCCCTTGTCTGAAAGCCAGGCAGGTGGAGATTTAGCTGGCCTGGCCTGGGCCTGTGGCCAGGTATTGTGCTTGCAGTCTTTATTAATAGATCACTCATTACTGTTGCTGCAACAGCACTCTGAACTTGGGTTCTGATTGATTCCTGAATTACTGAGAACGGTTCCAAAAAAAATCACTTTGCCCTTTGGCAATATACACTTAATGACACTTGCTAGTGCAGCCTAGGCAGATTATTTCAGGAATACCAGACATTTTTTATTCTGTCGTAGCTCAGACTCAACAGCTTTTTCTTGGCAGAAAAGGCTACATTTGCTGGAGTTCAGACTGAAGATTGGGGCCAGTTCATGCACATCTGTGACATAATTAACACTACCCAGGATGGGTGAGTACAGCATAGTTTCCGTGTATTTGCCTCTGATAAGAAGCATCAGAACTACAGCACGTTTTCTCTTGCAAATGTTTCAGTTTTGTTATTGAAAGAGTGTTTTCATCATTCATTAGGCACCCTCTACCTTTTGAAGACTTGTCAGATTGAAATATTGGGGCAGCTGCTTGCTTCAGCATGTAGCGTATCTATAAATCCACTATCATTTTTTTCCTCTTAGCAGTTTCTTTAACAGTTTCAAATTTTGTCACTGGGAAGCTCAAATTGCTTCTTTTTAAAAGATTGAAAAAGGCCAGGTGCGGTGCCTCACGCCTGTAATCCCAGCACTTTGGGAGGCCGAGGCGGGTGGATCACGAGGTCAGGAGATCGAGACCATCCTGACTAACACGGTGAAACCCCGTCTCTATTAAAAATACAGAAAATTAGCCGGGCGTGGTGGCAGGCGCCTGTAGTCCCAGTTACTTGGGAGACTGAGGCAGGAGAACGGTGTGAACCCGGGAGGCGGAGCTTGCAGTGAGCTGAGATTGCACCACTGCACTCCAGCCTGGGCAACAGAGCGAGACTCTGTCTCAAAAAGAAAAAAAAAGATAGAAAAAGAGAGATTGTTTCCTTCTTTAGGAATATCTCCAGCTCCCATGGCCAGTATTTGATGAAACCGTCAAATATTATCAAGAAGCTGGTTGACTCCTGGTGGTGACCTATTTCTGGGCAATTGTCTTTAGTAACCAGGAAACAATATAGCAGTCTTTTTTCCTCCTTGTCACAGGACAATTTTTTTCCTTCTGAATGTCAACTCACCCATGTTTAAGCTGTATTCTTATAGCATGTGCTATCTTTTGCCCTTAAACTTCTTAAACTTTAGAGAATCGAAGTTGTAAGAAAAAAGTCATTAAGAAGAACAAACTGGTTTGCATGTAGTCAATTACAAGTTATTCTTCGGAACACAATTCTGGTAATTTTCCTGTGCATATTAAAGTGATAACTGACAGTAAAAGAGATTTAGTCTAGCTTATATTGATAAAGAAAACATCAAAATTATTGGTTATAAATAAATGGAAAGTGCTTATGGTTAGTACTTTTTTTTTTTTTTTTTTGAGACGGAGTCTCGCTCTGTTGCCCAGGCTGGAGAGCAGTGGTGCAATCTCGGCTCACTGCAAGCTCCGCCTCCTGGGTTCATGCCATTCTCCTGCCTCAGTCTCCCGAGTAGCTGGGACTACAGGTGCCCGCCACCTCGCTCGGCTAGTTTTTCGTATTTTTTAGTAGAGACGGGGTTTCACTGTGTTAGCCAGGATGGTCTCGATCTCCTGACCTCATGATCCGCCCGTCTCGGCCTCCCAGAGTGCTGGGATTACAAGCTGGTTAGTACTTTTAAGTGTGTATGGTTTTTTTCCTATAATTCTATTTACCATGTTTAGTTCCTCTGGGAACATTTTCATTGATAATACCAATTCATTGATAATACAAAAAGAGAATCTTAAATTTGGACCCTTATAAATAGTTATTTGTAACGTAAAATTGTGGTGTATTGGCAGCTGACCTAGTTTGTTGTAATTCCTCTTACATCCCCTTGTCTGTAGGGTGCTCAGGAAATACTAATAGTTTTAATTAAAATGGTAACATTCGTTGTTTCAGAAGTTGCATTTCCTATAAGTTGGTTCTGTGCATTGATAGAGGGATACAGGAATGAGTGCATTTCATGGGTGGTGCTTTCTAGGTAATAGACTTGTACAAAAATATTTTATTTGATTCTCATAAGGGGGTGGGTAGGTGGTATTTTCTGCCTGTATGTGTGAAGAAATTTAGGTTCAAGAAGTTAAGTCATTCGTGTAGGGTCCCACAGTAGGACCAAGGCCTTGGTTTTCTCCTTAGCCATTCCTCTCTCCAAATGCATGTTGCTTTTCAGAGAGACTGCTTGTTTTCAGCAATGCCTAAATTGGTGATTTCAGTGTATTTATTACCATAGGCCAAAAGATGCAGTGAAAGCTTTGAAGAAAAGGATTTCCAAAAACTACAATCATAAAGAAATCCAACTTACCTTGTCAGTAAGTACTTTAATTTTATAAGTAAGACTCAATTTCTCAAGCTATAGTTACGTTTTTAATCCTGGGTAAAAAATAAGAAGCAAGTATTCTGAGAAAACTAATAGGTTAGCTAATAGATTACCTAAGAGTTGTGTACAGTATGAGTTAAAACTCTTCATTTATGAGAATTGCAGAATAAAGAAAGTTTAGTTCTTTGTAATAGCATTTAATTTCACGGGAAGAACTTGTTCCTGAAAAATCAATTGTTCTTGGTCAGGAGATGGGAATTAGTGGTTAACATGTATTATACATGGTGAACTGATGAAGAACTTTGTGTATTGGCTGGGTGTGATGGCACATGCCTATAATCCCAGCATCGAGGTGGGATGATTGCTTGAGCCCGGGAGTTTGAGAATAGCCTGGGCAAGATGGTGAGACCCTGTCTCTACAAAATATTTAAAAAGTAGCCAGACATGGTAGCCTGCATCTGTAGCCCCAGCCACTTAGGGGGCTGAGGCAGGACAATCACTTGAACCCAGGAATTCAAGATGGCAGTGAGCTATGATCATGCCCCTGTACCTCAGCCTGAGTGACAAAGAGAGACCTCAACTCTTAAAAAAAAAAAAAAAAAAGTTTGTGTCTGGGCATGGTGGCTCACGCCTGTAATCCTAGCACTTTGGGAGGCCGAGGCAGGTGGATCCCCTGAGGTCAGAAGTTTGAGACCAGCCTGACCAATATGGTGAAACCCCGTCTCTACTAAAAATACAAAAAGTAGCCGGGCGTGGTGGCGTGTGCCTGTAGTCCCAGCTACTCGGGAGGCTGAGACAGGAGAATTGCTTGAACCCAGGAGGTGGAGGTTGCAGTGAGTCAAGATCGCACCACTGCCCTCCAGCTTGAGCAACAGAGCAAGACTCCTTCTTAAAAAAAAAATAATAATAATAATAAAGTTTGTGCATGTATTAATTAACCATAATTTAAGATGAGAATTGAAATTTTGAAAAATACCTCCCTGTTAGCTTTCTACCTCACTTGAACAGCTTTGTGGAATCCTGAGATGCTCTCAGCTCATTAAATTCCAACCAAGTTCTGCTGCCTGGCATGATTTGGAGAATGTTCTATGTTGGTTTAAGCAATTCTCCTGTGTGTTGTATTGTCTGTTATTTAAGTGTGGACTCTTATTTGACGTGTTCCCATTTTCCCACCATCCTTGGCCATATGACCTCTTCAGTCACGTTGGTGAGTTGTCCTTTTTACTTTAGTATGTGTTGCAAGCCCTGCCTGCTGCCTGAGAGTGAGCTGTGTAGCTTTCTGATTTATTCTGCACGCCTTTGTTTATCTCAGCCCAGCCCAAGACTGTGCATGGTCACGGCACTAATCAGCCAGCATCACACTGCCTTAGGAGCATTAGTCTTTATCAAGAGGACTTTGGGGCATATGTGAGCGTAGCTCCTGGTTTCTAGTTACATGTAGAAGAAAATGGACATCTTGCATAGGCTCACTGAATGAGCAGAAATGCAATGAACGGTCTTCATGATTTGATCATTAAAGAAACCCTTCACGTTGGGATCTGAATATAGTTTTAGAGGCATTTTCCCCCTTCACCTTTTTTTTTTTTTTTTTTTGAACCTCTCACCTATCCTTAACTCTTGAAGGTCACAGAATGGAGGAGATTGTGGAGAGAAGAGTGAGGCACTTCTGTAGAAATCCCAGAACGATGGGTCACTGATAGAAATGCCTGGCACCTGTCAATGTTCTTGACCACCCTGTGAAGTAGTTCTATTATTAACTCCATTTCACAGATGAAGAAATTGAGACTCAGAGAAACTGATTTATTTCCAAGATGAAAATGGCTATTACATAGCATAGGCAAGATTTGATCCCAGTCCTCAGATTCTAAATTCCATGCCCTTGCCTCATACTTCTTTGTTTCTCAGAATGAATCAAGCCTCTTAAAAGAGCAGGCTACTGTGTTTCCTTTGTGTCTTTAGTTTCTTCCTGTGTAGTACAGGGCCAGGTATATCAGATGTTGACTGGATTAATGATTAAGCACCACACCCTCATACACACACCTAATCCCATCTCTCCTAGTATCCGGGAAGACTCAAGGGCTAATGGAAGGTACTGTAGAACGGGAGTAGAAAGATGGGTAGATGTACCCTTTTGCTTGGATTTTCTTTAAATAGGCCTTTGACTCTTTGTGTCTTCATGCGGATTTCCTCAAACTGTGTATTTAATGGTCCAGTCACCTCACCTCAGAGTACTCACTGCCTTGCAGAGGTGTGCTTAGGGCCTCAAAACTGACTTCAATATTCACGTAAGCCATTCTCGTGGTATATCTGGGATATCTGAAGGGTGCCAGAGGTTAGGAGAATTGAGTAAGGAAGAGAAGGGCAGAAGACTAATTTATGCCCCCTTCTCTATTTCAGCATGGGGTATTATTATTTTGCTTTTTACAGGAGTTCACCATTCATAACAGTTTGCCGCTTCCTCCATTGTGCCCAAGCCTACTTGATGTGTCAGTGGTTGCTTCTTAATCCCGCCTCCATATCTTCTTCCATCATGGTTCCCTCGCTATGACGATGGACCAGGGACCCTCCTTGAGGAAGCTGGGTTATTCCAGAGTGTCGTGCCTCTGGCCCTCTGTTTCTCTTTGGGCTTCCACTCTTCCTTCTCATCAGGTAGTCTAATCTCTCAAGCCTGACTACCAGCTCGCTGCCGTTCCCATGATCTGTTCCACCTCAGATCTGTAGCTACCTTACCTTATGGGTTCTGTCCAATGTGTGCGAACAAGAGAATCTAAAGCCTGTGCCTAAAAACAGGCAAGAGTCACCAGTCAGAATACACCTTCATCCTTGGGGTCACAGTACATTAAAGTCAGGAAAAACACCTGGGTTTTCCTTGGATTTTCTTTAAATAGGCCTTTGACTCTTCATATCTTCATGCTGATTTCCCCAAGTGGTGTATTTAATGGTCCAGTCACCTCACCTCAGACTACTCCCTGCCTTGCAGAGGTGTGCTTAGGGCCTCAAAACTGACTTTAATATTCACATAAGCCAAATTTAATGATGAGGGGACTTAGTCACAGAAGGAGTCACCCATGTCTGTCAAACGCAATTATAAGTTTACTAGTAAACTCTTTAAAAAGTAATCCCTATATATGACATTTCCATTTTATTAATGTAAAGTGATGAGAGCCTGTCAAATTCAGTTATAAATATTCTTTGTTATCTGTCATGTTGAGTTCTCCATGGACGTGTTAACCTTGATTCGGCTTTAATGGAATCTGACTGTACTATGATTTCCTACCATCAGTTGGTAGAGCAGTTTTGTGTTTCAGCAGAATTTTGTTTCCAGGCTTTATTACTCTGAGCCAGGAAGTATTCTCTTCTTGAATGAGTCAATTGTGATAAATCTCAGCAAGAGGCTACTATTAGTGTCAAATGGAAAGTGGTTGAACAGGTTCCTAAGAATCAATTAGTTAATAGGCCTTTGTGGAGCACCCCCTAAGCAGTGAGCTTCAGGGGTTTCATAAGATGTGTAAAATTATGTGGTTGAAAATAATAATGAAGGAGAAGCTTAGTGTATTCTCCTTTGGCAAATTTACCAGTGAAACAAAATATCAGGCTGGGTGCAGTGGCTCATGCCTGTAATGCCAGCAGTTTGGGAGGCCCACAAGGGTGGATCACTTGAGGTCAGGAGTTAGAGACCAGCCTGGGCAACATGGTGAAACCCTGTCTTTACTGAAAATACAGAAATTAGCCGGGCATGGTGGCATGTGCCTGTAATCCCAGCTACTTGGGAGGCTGAGGCAGGACAATTGCTTGAACCCAGGGAGCGGAGGTTGCAGTGAGCCTAGATTGTGCCACTGCACTCCATCCTGGGTGACAAAGCGAGACTCTGTATCGAAACAAAACAAAGCAAAACCAAACCATGTGGTTGTCCCCCCAGGAGCTTGTTGCAATTGGAGGGACTGAGAAGACTGAGGCCTCTAGGCTGGGGTAGTCACCTTGGTGAAGGCACTATGCATGGCCCAGGTGTAGCTCTGATGGCCCTGAAACCTGGTTGTTGTCACTGTGCCTGGTTTGGAAATTTACAGTGAGAAAATCTCTTTTGATTCCAGCCCTCTCTTAAAATACTTAGGTCAGCTCATCATCACATTCAGTCCTGCTAGGAAGTTCTCCGTGAAAGATGATCTAAATAGTTGCCATGTATTGAGGTCCTGCTTTGTGTCACGCTCTTTGTTATGTTTCATTTGGGCCTTTCAACAAGTCTCTAGAGGGAGGTATTATGTCCATTTTGCAGATAAGAACACTGAGGCTTAGGATAAGTGATTTGCCCAGCTAAGCCCAAGAGATCAGTGAAGCCTGGAGTCACCCACTTCAGTCTCTCTTTGTTCCTTGGCTCCAGAGTTTTCAATCCCACCTCAGATTATGGATTCTTATTTGTCTTATTTCCAAATATAGGTTATCTGAACACATTTGCACCAAGTTCAATTTCAGAATATGTGAAAACAACATATTTAATTTTAATTTAATTTGCCACAGTAGGTTTTATTACTTATCTGAGTGAGTTGGAGGGTGAAAGAGGTTCTGGTGATATAATAGAGGAGGTGATGTAGAAGTAATTAGTCCTGGCATTCTTGATTCTAATGGGAAAACACAAAAGGCATGACTGCTAATCTCCAGATGTTCGCATTTTTAGCATTTCATGTTGACTCTTTGATTTTGTGCATGTTCCTCCTGGGAGTGTTACTCATTATCATAAAATCTTGTTGCACCAAAGATAAAAATTAGTTTGTGAGGGCCAGGTGTGGTGGTTCATGCCTGTAATCCCAGCACTTCGGGAGGCTGAGGTGGGTGGATCACCTGAGGCTAGGAGTTCGAGACCAGCCTGGCCAACGTGGCAAAACCCCATCTCTGCTAAAAATACAAACATTAGCTGGGCATGGTGGTGCATGCCTGTAATCTCAGCTACTTAGAAGGCTGAGGCATGAGAATCACCTGAACCCGAGAGGCAGAGGTTGCAGTGAGTCGAGATTGCACCACTGCACTCCAGCCTAGATGAGAGAGTGAGACCCTGTGTCAAAAAGAAAAAAAAAAAAAATATATATATATATATATATATATATGCCTAGGGAGAATGAGACTTGGAGCCTAGGTATTTGCCTAAGACTGTACAACTAGTTAGGTGAAATATTTCTGTAAACTCACATTGAGCTAGAGGCACGTTTCCTTTCAGCATTTCACCCATTAAAAACTCATTATACTCATTATAATAATCCATCAAGCTAAATGGCATATTATTCAACTTTCCAACTTTGTCTTAACAACCTGCACTAGTATAGATTCATCTTAGTATGTTTTGGATTTTGTTTTTATTTTCCTTTGCCTTAAAGGTTTTCGCTGTGTTTCACACAGCTACATGTGCTCACCTTCTGTATTTTCTGATTACCTTCTTGGTCACTGTGCTTTAAAACTATAGCGTTCATACCTGCTGCCACTTTATGTATTTCCATTAAAGACAGACTAAAAATACAAAGACAAAGCATGGCATGAAGTCCATTTTTAGGGCTTCTATTCTGCAGAGATGATTATCCTGGTCATGTTAATGGTTTCTATGACCTTTCTAATTTGAAGTTGTAGCATGGAAACTAAAGATTTAATTTTGTTTTTAGATTACTTTTAGAAATCTACTTTCTGCATGCAGTTCTTCAGTATTGGCTCATTCTTTCTTAGTCAAGTTTCTGCTCACGTTGCTTTATCGCAAATGTGTTTTTCAAGGGAACTGATGTTCCTTAGTGCGTATTCTTAACTGTATAACACCCCATCCTCCAGGAAACTTTTCTTTTGACTTTACCAAAGGCGTGCCTTATGTACTCCTGATTTTGTGCTTCATTTTCTGTCAGTTACTCCTTGATTGCCTTCCTTGGATTTTCGCTGGCCTGTGTAATAGGTGAACCCCAGTGTTTCAGCCCTTCCTCCTCTCTTCTCATTGTAGGCAGCCTTGATAACTCACTTTTGGTCCTTCACTCTCTTGAACTATAGCTGTGTGTGTCCAGCTCACTGCTAAACACCTACTTAAATGTCCCTTATCTTTTGAACTCAAAATATCTAAATTTCAGCCCGTCATTTCTACCCCTAGACCAGCCATACCACACCCTCTTCCAAATTTCCATCACAGGGGTCCTCATGCAGAATGAGAGTCACTTAACTTTCAGTCATCTTCCTTTTTTGACCAGCATTGTCATTCAAAGTTCTTCCTTCATAATTCTGTCGTGACTCCTTTTCCTGTACCCACATCATCTTAGTTTAGGCCTTTTGTATATCATGCCTGAACTAATGGGTTGCTAGTGGATCTTTCTGTCATTCCAGGTTTCTTCTCCCTCCACTTGCCTTTGCAGAGTGCTGCCTGACAACCTATCCAGAATAGTACTTTGCACACATTAACCTTTTCCTCAATTTCAGGGTAAAGGTGTGATGGTGACAAACTAACAGAGACCCTCCGTAACTTCTTAGGGCCTTCAAGATAATATCCACACCCTTTGCACTGCCACACAAACTTCTCTACAACCTGGACAGACTTTATCTACCCTATCTTTCCAGTGTCCCCAATTTACCTTTATCAAGATGCCTCTGCTAGAGAGAGACCAGAGTACTTATCTCCCCCTTCATAACTTACCCACTTTTCCACATTTATATAGTTTTCATACAATTTCTCTGTCTGGAATATAGCTCTATACTCATTTTTACTGTTCTTAGCCGTTTTGCAAAGCCCAGCTTCCAATTAGCCTTTTCCAAAAGTCTTGTAAGACCACCTAGCCCTAAATAATCACTCTTGCCTATAAGGACCTATAGCTAGGGTGACTGTGTAATTCATCATCCAAACCAGGACATTTTTGAAAGTGAAAGGGTGTGTCATCATTAATAAACAGGACATTGGGAATATACCTGTGCTACCCTGGGTAAACTGGGACAGATATTATTCCATCTGTAGCTCATATGTTTGGCCTGCACGTCCCTTCAGCATTTAGCATTTAGTACTCTGCATTGCTGGTTAATTCCCTTTTGGATGTGCTGGGGCTCCTCGATAAGTCTGTCCTCTAGACTGTTACATTATGCTCATATTTCCACATATCCCCAGAACCTAACATTTTGCCATATATTTTAGTAGATACTAAATTATGTTTGTTAGTTAGTATGCTGGTGGAAATTATTATTTAGCAATTTTTCCCTTACATTTTTAGGAGGTGGTTTTGCCAGATAAATATAATGTTTAATTTATTTTTCTAATTTAGCTTATTGACATGTGCGTGCAGAACTGTGGTCCAAGTTTCCAGTCTCTGATTGTGAAGAAGGAATTTGTTAAAGAGAATTTAGTTAAGCTACTGAATCCTAGATACAACTTGCCATTAGACATTCAGAATAGAATCTTGAATTTCATTAAGGTAAGTCTGTTGTATACCTCATGGGATGGTAAATTTCTAAGATTAGGGATTTCACAGCTTACCTCCTGATTGTTTTGCTTATCTTTTATATGTCTTGGATTGAGCCAGAAAAGCATTTTTGCTATTTTTAGTTTCTGTGTAATAATAATTTTTTGGCATTGGATGGTACACTTTTTCTGAAGATTTGTAGTCATTTCCCTACTTTCCTCTCAGTTTCTATTTTATCTGTGTCAAATAGGAAAGACAATGATGTGTATGTTCATTTTGCAGGTTGGGAAACTGTTCCAACTAACTGACTAGTTCAAGGTTACTTGGAAAAAGAGCTACTGATGTTGTTTTGGAATCTGTTAATTTTGGATTCAGAGCAGCAAAAAACAATTGATAGTATATATCCTAGGGTTTCTTCAAGATTTTGAGGCATGGAAGTCTGATTTAAAATATTTTGGGCCGGGCGCGGTGGCTCATGCCTGTAATCCCAGCACTTTGGGAGGCCGAGGCAGGTGGATCATGAGGTCAGGAGATCGAGACTATCCTGGCTAACACGGTGAAACCCTGTCTCTACTAAAAATACAAAAAAAAAATTAGCCAACTGTGGTGGCGGTCGCCTGTAGTCCCAGCTACTTGGGAGGCTGAGGCAGGAGAATGGCGTGGACCCAGGAGGCGGAGCTTGCAGTGAGCCGAGATCGCGCCACTGCACTGCAGCCTGGGCGACAGAGCAAGACTCTGTCTCAAAAAAAATAAAAAATAAAAATAAAATATTTTATATTTTCCTAGCCTTTGAAAATGAGCATTTTGCCCATGGCATTCAAAAGTAGCTTTCTCTTTCTGAGTGGGGTACATAATTATTGATCTCTCATTTTCTATCAGGAGCTTAAGAATTGTGTTTTCAGCCGGGCGTGGTGGCTCACGCCTGTAATCCCAGTACATTGGGAGGCCGAGGTGGGCAGATCACAAGGTCAGGAGTTCGAGACCAGCCTAGCCAACACAGTGAAACCCCGTCTCTACTAAAAAATACAAAAAATAAGGCAGACGTGGTGGTGGGCACCTGTAATTCCCAGATACTCGGGAGGCTGAGGCAGGAGAATCGCTTGAACCCGGGAGGTGGAGATTGCAGTGAGCTGAGATTGTGCCATTGCACTCCAGCCCAGGCAATAGTGTGAGACTGTCTCAAAAAAAAAAAAAAAAAAAGAATTGTGTTTTGGTTTTGTTGCTGTTTTAACTCTGGAACGTTTTCATCTCTTGAACTCAGGCTTGGTCACAGGGTTTCCCAGGAGGTGTGGATGTAAGCGAAGTCAAAGAAGTATACCTCGACCTGCTTAAGAAAGGCGTTCAGTTTCCTCCCTCAGAAGCAGAGGCTGAAACAGCAAGACAAGAGGTAGGAGGCCTTTCTTTGACCCATGGAGAGTATAGTAGTATATCACTTGGGTCTTTTGTCATTGCAGGAGACAACCCTAAATCCACTTAAGCTTAAGCAAAAAGATGAATTTATTAGAAGGATATTGCAATATCTCATAGAATAACCGAGACTTGGGATTTTGCTACTTAAAGTGTGAAAGTTTGTTTGGCTTGCTCCACCCTAGACTAATCAGAACCTCCCTTTTTACAAGATTTCCAGGTGTTTTTTCTGCACATTTATGTTGAGAAGCACTGGCCTAGAGCCTTGAGCTTTCACCTCGCCACCCAAGGTTGGAGATGTGGCATTGACCCAAGGAGGGTCATTGATGGAGAAGGAGATGCCTTGTCAGCTGTGGCTTAAAAAGACTTGACATGAATTGAGCTCTCATTTGTTATTAACAGTCCAAAGAGAAGGCATTAATAATCTCACATGGCAGTTTATCACTTAAACCCTGGGTAAAAAAAAAAAAAAAAAAGGGCATTTTATTAAATTGTAAATGATAATTCACCTTTTGTTGAATACCTGCTCTATTATGGGCGTCTCATTTGCTTAGCATTCTTCACAAAATGCTGGACGGGTTGTGTAGTTGATGATTTACTCAGGGCAGATACCCTGTACGCAGGACTTTGTTTGAGAGTGCTTGAGTTAGCTGAATGGAGAAAACTTGGCGTTGGGTGGCTATGTTAATTCACATAATAATATTACCATATTTTATACTCATAGACTGCTCAAATCTCATCAAATCCTCCAACATCTGTCCCTACTGCACCAGCTCTTTCTTCTGTAATTGCTCCAAAGAACTCGACTATTACATTGGTCCCAGAACAGGTAACAACAGCAATCACTGTATTTATTGATGTGTTTTCCTGATTTGTAAGCACCTTATATACAGTTTGTCCTTTCTGGTTAACAACATTGAGATGTAGGTACATTTATTTTACAGAGGAAGAGACTGAGGCTTAGTCATACTATGTGACTTATAGTTCAGTTCCAAGAAGGATTAATCCCATTGGTTCTGTCTACTTCCAAAGTCCAACTTTGTAAGAGTTGTGCTTGCCTAGTGGCTTTCATGGCTTTGTGGAGCCTTGACTGTGGACTGGATCTAGTGTCCATGAGCTAATTCCTGTTACTTCTGGTAGGACTGTCACATATTTCAGAGTGTTTTGTAAATGGTAGTCTTATTACTTGTATTTATTATGCCAACTGAATTGTATTTACTTCTTTGTGTATATCAGTTTGTCCAAGGTACAGATAAGCAATTATTGTATGAAGCCCATTTCCGTTCCGCTGTAAAGGAACTATAATTGAAGACTTTGTATTATTATTTTTTTCTTATATAAAAATTCATGTGACTAATTCCTCTTAGAATTTAATACAGGAAAAAGATTTATTTCTTCTTTCTTCTTTAATACCATGAGAACTAGATAACCCTCATTTGTTTTTCTTTTATCCTGTCGGTTGCCAAGAAACTCAGGATAACTTTTGCCATTTTATCCAGGTTTCTGGTACCTTCTTCTGCTAGGTACCTAGTACTTCTCCCCT